AGACTAACATGGCTACCCTTCTGGAAATATCCAACAAATGGTTAGACTTATGGAAGTGTATTCAAAGCAGCAGTTTAAATCATAAGATGAACCTGTGCTCTTTCTTACACATACTGAACAGTAATGTAGGATGCAAAACTTGCCACAGGAAAAAAAATCGAGAATGTAACATTTAATGTAAAAACTCCAGTACTTTATTTTGATATTCCAAATTTTTCATTTCTTAAAAAAAGTCAAATAATCCAAACTAGCTGAGACTATTACAATATTAGGCAAGCTTAACAATTTCAAAGTTATCTGAGCCATCAACGTCAGTCTCATATTTTTAAGCAAAACAAAAACCAGAATACCTGAACTCTATCTGTGACAAGATTAAGATATTTAAGGTGATTATGCTAAGAAATGTATGTATGTTTTGTATGTTATTGTGATCTGTGAACAATGAAGGGGTAAGAAATAAAACACAGACAGAATAAACAAAATAATATCAAAATAAAAATTGAACTGTTGGAAGTGCAGGTCCAATAAAAAAAAAACTGAAACAGAGATTAATTATTGTTCCACTTTCAATAAACACAGCATTCCAACACTCCTATAAGTCTCTTACCAATACACCATGCTGGTTCTCCAGTTAAGATTTTGTTCGGCCCACCAATGTGTTTTAGACTTACAAGGCAAAAAATGCAAGCATGCTAAGGTTTCCTGTGAGCAATATGTGAGTAAGAGAGAGTGACTAAACCATAATCACAGGATGAGGCTCATGGGCCAAAGTGAATTTGAACCCAGTCCCCAGCTGTACTCTTATTTGACACTTCAAATGACTATATCAAATATTTCTGTTCAAATATAATGGACAAGTGAGACATTAAAAGTTTTTCTTAGTAAATACAAGTCAAATGAAGATGCTCAAACATACTGCACTGGTTTTGGGCACAAGAGAATTTCCCAATCAATATTTTCTGGAAAACTTATACTACTGATACTTAGTGAAAGCTCTATCCACTACACTCACTGACTCTTATCTGTCAATTGAAATCAATAAAACGGTGCTATTATACCACCTATAAGGCAGCTATTCTTCCCCAGAACATTTGCTCAACTTGTCCATCCAGCTTCAGCTATGTATAATTTTATCTCCTTAGAGAACAACAGTAAAGAACTGTTACTATGGAATTGATACAGAATTTTCTGGAGGCAAAAGTTAAGAATTTAGCAGGCAGATTACCATTTTCCCTTGAGATGGAAAAAATGAAACTTCAAATGAAATATGATAGCCACTCTTAAATTACTTGCATGTAAATGACTTGTCAACACTTATTTCCTTCCACTCTAAGACCAGCTCAAAGGACATGCATCCTCTCAGCTTGCCTCAGTCACTTTAGTCTCAGGCAAGCCTCATGCGGTCCTTCATTTCCTTCAAGTTCCCAGAGTTGGGCAGCTAAAGGCTCCTGCCTATATGGAACACAGTACCTATCTCCTCTTGTTTGGATGAGTGAATAAGGCAGGGGTCACTCCAACTCTCAGCATTTCTTCATGCAAATACAATTCTGTATCTAAGCTAAAGACTCACATTGATTTCTTAATGATCATACTAACACCACACTTGAACCACTTCAACAGCCTTTCCAATAAAAAACAAACAAACAAAACTTGAGAGCACACCAGCGAAGTTATTGCGCTGAAGCATAAGCTTTATTTCTTGCAAGATTTCCTGCAAGGAGATAAAATTACTGTATACATAGTGTTTCACTATTCACTAACCCTTCTTCAACACCACAACACAGCAACACTATACACACTCTGTAACAGCATGGTCAGAACAAAACTAGATACTGCTTAAAGGAAAAAGACAAAAAAAATTGTGTGATTTGGTCTACTCTAATGCTTCAAAACTGGACACTGTGCTCATACTGGCCAAAGCATTTCAACATACATACTTCCTTAGGTTTCAATTTCTGACCACCAATTTGGGAGTTTTCCCTTTCTTAATGGACTCTTCTGTGTTTCTACTTTGCACAGAATCCAAAACAGCAACATTAAATGATGAAGAATGAAGTCGGTTAGTTTGAGTTCTTCACCTCAAATATTAAGGCTATATACAAAAACTGTTTTCTCTCAGCTATTCTCTCTCAAAGCTTAAAACACTTAATGAATGAGCCAAGATTGGCTAAGAAAAGTGCAGTAATTTAAGGGGGTGAGTGAAAACAAGACTGTGCATACCCTTCTATACTGGAAAGAGAGAAGGGTTATATTTTCACACTTCCTAATACAGCACACACAACCTGCATGTTTATAATCCTAGGACTTTTTTTCATTGTAGCACACCACATAGTTGCAAGTAATGGTATATTATTTATCACTGCAACGCTTACATCATATGCAAACACTCATTCTCTGGTCCCACTGAACTCAATGAAGTTTACTTCTGAGCAGACATGCGCATGACTGTATTATAAATGGCCTCATGACCTTTTTATGTATTGACAGAGAAAATAAAATTAAATAAAGAAATCATATTTTCAAAGTCTGATCCTATGGATTAAGATAGGAACAGTCTGACTTGACAAGCAGCAATCAGATAGAAATTGAGTGATATTAAACATGAGTGATATTAAACATGAACGCTATCATATACATTTGCATTGCTCTCAGTTCCTCAGTTTCTCTTTATCAGGTAGAGAAGAGTTATCTTGTTGTAAAATTCAATTTAACTTCAGTTTTACTCATCCATTTAAAATCAAACTAAATTTGGCAAAAACATAGTCATTCTACAGTATATAAAAGATATAGTATGCTACGCTCAACAAAGTCATGCAGACATTTTATGTTTACACAAATACACAAGAAGCATGAATAAAGCCACCCCAGTTTCTTACAGAAATACCGTGTAAAATACCGTGTTTCCCCGAAAATAAGGCAGGTTCTTGTATTAATTTTTGCTCCAAAAACTCATTAGGGCTTATTTTCAGGGGATGTTTTATTTTTTCATGTACAACTATCTACATTTATTCAAATACAGTCATGTCATCTTCTTCTGGTTGCTGCACAATGGTGGAGGGTGGAGTTTCACTTAACTGGGGCTTATTTTGGGGGATAGGGCTTATATTACTGTACAAGCATCCTGAAAAATCATACTATGGCTTATTTTCAGATTAGGTCTTATTTTCAGGGAAACAGGGTATTAGTATCAATCTGAAAACCTAGCCAATCCTATCATAAGCCTAATATAAACCATATATAAACTACATATAAATCAACAGGATGTTCACCAAAGAGCAATTAAGCAATATCACAAATAACTGTTACAAAAATTCATTCTTGAAATTAGAAAACACCCTTTTTTTAACTAAATAAGACAACAATAAGGCATTTAAACACTGTATTTGTCAGAATTTTAAAAGTTCAGCCCACTAGCTGGAGAAAAAAAAAACACCCATTTACTATAAATGACCTGTCTTTCAAAGAATTTAGACGAAAATTAAGCAGTTCCACAATTAGTGGGAGGCACAGCAACATGATGTACTCTTTTTCAGCCACTTCCCCTTTGTTCAACCCACCCACTTTAAGGGAACTTAGTGACTGGACTGCAAGCTAAAGACAGGGGGCAGAATGGAAATTTCCTCTTTAGACTTCTACAGTATTTGCAAAGTAACTAGGAGGATCTTACTTTCACGTGAATGAAGACAACTTCAAATTACAGGAAGCTCTCTTCTGACAAATAGCCTTAGCAACAGAGTACACATAGGCATGCTACACAAGATTCTGCCTCTGCCTTTCAAGAGCCTAAGCCCAAGGCTCATATATCATCAAAATCCACCCGAGCACCACTTGTGCTGCGTTTCAGTCGACCAGCAAAACACTGGATGACTGCCAGAGTCACCTGACATGCACGTTTATCGCCGTTGTTCTTACGTGCAAGTTCCTAATTCACACTTTCCTCAACCCGAAGGAAACCTCGCCCTTAAAAGGTCGGGGGATCCCCTTGGAGCCAATAGGAAATGTGAACGCTATTCATCAAGCCTTTCTGGTTAGGTCTGCCTCGGAATGATAAAAGGCACACCCGAAAAGTCCCTTTTAAGCTTCTTTTATTAAACACTCCGAGCAGATAACGACGCCGGATGGCATTACCTCCTAATAGGAAGAAAGCACACATGGCAACAACGAGAAGGCGAGCGAGAAGAGAAAACGGGTCCCCCGTTATCGGGGTTTTAAGGCTTTTTCCCTCCACCCTGCGCTCCCTCTCTCTCTCTCTTTCCAGCCGAGGGAAAAGGCACCCGGGCGCCGGCGGCAACGAGAGCCGCCTCAGCCCCCCGAAGCCAAGAGCATCTGCCCTCGGCGTGTGTGTGTGTGTGTGTCTGGCGACCCTTCCCTTCGCCCTCCGAGTCCCTCACATGGGAAGGGAGGGTATTTCCTACCAGGACCCCGCTCCGTTCCCCCCCCCCGACGCAGCTGGCGAGGGAGGAGGAGCCCTGACGGGGGTAGGAGGTGGTCCCTCTGTAACGCCGACGGAGGGAAAGGGGGGAGGAAGGCAGGAAGGCGGCGAGAGTCAGCTGGGGACACGCTTTAAGGAACCAGTTCTTCTCACCCCCCCACCCCGGCTTTCCATAATGGACCCCTCCTGGCATAGGGGACTCCGGCCGGGCAGCCTCCCCTCCCTCAGAAGCGGAGGGGGGAAAAGCCACCTCTTTGGGGGCGCCTCTTTCGAGATGCCGCCTCCTCCTCCTCTTCCTCCTCCTCCTCCTCCTCTTCCCGCCCCGCGCTGTCATGTCCCGTCTATTTTTAGACGCCAATAAGGCGCGTGTTGAGAGCTCCCAGCGCCGCTGCCCGCCTCGTGGGCCCCCCCGTCAGGTTGGCGAAGGGGGGGGGGAGAGAGAGAGACGGTGGTGGCACAAGCCCGAGCGAGGCGAGGCAGCTGCCGCCACGCCGCGCCTCCCTTCCCCTTCCCCTTCCCCTTCAGCTCCTTCCTCCTCGGGTGCCCGCTCCCCTCCGCTCTCCCTTACCCCAGCTCTTGGCCGTACGCCCCAGAAACTCGCCACTGTTCGGATTGTAGATGAATCGCCGCCACTCGGCCATAGACTGGCTGAAGGGCTTCTTCTCCTCCTTGGCCATAGCTAGCAGAGCGGAGGCAGGAAAGGGCGAAGTGGAGGCGCCTGGTTCCCGGGCACGCGAGCAGCCGGAATGGGCTCCTCGTTGAAACCACCGCGGATCCTGAGAACCGCTAAGTAACTCTTCCCTCAGGCGCCCGGCGGGAGAGCAGAAGAGAGGAAAAGGAAAGAGGGGCAGGGCCACTCACTCACACGCACTGAGCGGAGCGGGCTGCTCTCGCCGCCTCTCCCCACCCCGGCGCCTACGTCAATGGTCTCAGGAGCCTATCGTCGCACGTGTCCCCTCGGAGCCCAGCCGCCCACCCCGACCCCTCGCACTGCCACCTGCTGGGCAAGTGAGGAGGCGACGGAAGGTAGGCAGGCGGGTCGAAGGCGCCTGGGCTTGAACAGCGGCACCCGAGCGCCCGCGTCTTCTTCTGTGGGGAGGGCAGAGGGCCGGAGGCGAGTCGGAAGGGAGGCGAACCTAAAAGCCCGCCCCTGCGTTCCTTCTTCCAATCACGGGTCTTCAAGGGAAGACGACCGGGGTGCACATGCACGAGATGGCGGCAGGGGTAGCTCGTGTGGGTGCCTAGCAGACGGCGGGGGGAGGGACTCTGGGTGCCATAAGTAGGCCAGAGACAAGACGGGTGAGGAGGGGGAGCTTTTGGGGTCTCACACTTTGAGGGACCTCTCCCTTGCTATGGCCATATAAGGTATTGTATGAATTGTTCCAAATTATGGTACTTTTACACACACACACACACACACACGTGCGTTCCAAGTTCAGAATGTTGTGAAATGCAATTTAAATAATAAATGGTGAAGAAACACGCTGGCTGCCCTCAAGTTACTTCATATACATCTACCCCGGAGTTTCTCTTTATGGGTTCAACTCATACTCTGAGTCTGTTAGTTTCTGATTTAAAAAAAAAGCAGGGGCCCTGAATATTAATCTGCCACAGTTCAACACTTAAATACCTTCCTTCTGGGTAGAAATCTGCCAGATGTGCAGTTGTAAGAAGAGCTCTCTCGCCAAAGAAAAGTTGGCAAATCTATAATAGTTTCACATAGTGGTGAAAGGGAACATGTTCGCACAAGCCATGTTAGGTTACATCTCCATAACCAACTGTGAAAGATGTTGGCAGTTAACAGTCCAGCAACATTTGTATGGGCCACAAGTTCTCCTTCCCTGCTATGGTAGTACAATGTGTAAAATTGTTAATATGTAAGCAGAGTTGGCTTTGATTACTTTGGAGACCAGCAGGGGGTACCAGGTAGGTAGAGCTGTGAATGAATCATGCCTGAAATCTGCAGAACTTTGACAATTCTAGACTAGATGGACTAATGATCAGACTCCAGTATAAGATAGCAGCTTATACGTACTGTACTGTATTCTCAAGTATTTAGCCATTATAATGTAACAGTTTCATTACATAGCCAACACAGAGAGATTCCATATTTGTAATTGTGATACAGAAGAACTTGTTCCATTCACACAGGTTAAAACCTCTCTGTCTCTTTCTCTTTTAAATGTAAGTTTCTAAATCCACCCTGGAGCCAAGATAGTGTGCTGGCTGAAGCAGGACACTGGACGCCTTCATCTCCTGTGATACAGCCATCATTTTAAAAGCGGAGGCTGTACCATTCAGATGTATATTCCTGCCTTCATCTGAATTCTATTTGAAACATATTTGTTCACTTTATCCACTCTCCTTTCCCTGGTAGGAGATTTCCAAGAGATTAGCTGGGCTTAACAAACCCATCTACCCCTGGGGTTTCCATGTTTGGAAGTATTGCTCAAGATGGCAATTACGTACTGAATAAGATAAAAAATAAAGAACCACACAGAATACTAAAATATTTGCTCAAGGCACAAGACTAGGAACAAAATTAAAATACTGGAAAGTTGCTTTTTGTTTACAGTGTGTGAGTTTTTAAGGAACAGAATAAATGATTCCTCCTGTGCTTTTTTCTATCATAAACTATAGATGGCAGACAGGTAGTCACAAGTCTATTGTGCACATTTTTCTTTTCATCCTTATCCATGGGGATTTGCAGTCCTTTTATCAGTTGAATTTATTCTCTTCTTACTCTGGATACAAATTAAAGCTAGTTTGTCCTTACACTTTCTAAAAACTAACCCCCATACTTTATCTTATACAGTATTTAGTTCCTGTATTAGATTTGTCTCAATATCCTAGGAAAGGTGCAGACAGAAAATTTGATACATAGAGGTGGCAAAATTGTTGTTGAAGACCTTGTCACTTGTTGAGGAACTAAAGAGTGAACTTGTTCTGTATTAGCCACTAATCCTATGCTGTAGTAATAATAATGGAAATCAAATTGAAAATCTTAAGAAAAAATTAAAAAGAGTCTCCTATGTTTATTTTGATTAATAAATCCTCTTTCTTCCTAGAGTATAATTGCCTCTCCTTCATTCTCGTTGCCTTTACAGTACTAGATTCTAACAGATTGTCTAACTCAGTGGTCCCAAACCCTTTCTGAACCATGGACTGGTTGGGGGGTGGGGTCTGTGTGCAAAAGGGCACCTCCTCACTTGCGGGTGGGCAGGGCGCACTCATGGGTGGGCAGAGCACACTCATGGGGGGCACACTCACATACATGCACAGATGGGCGGGGCACGCTCACACTCGGGTGGGCAGGGCACCCATGGCGCAGGTGGGCAGGCCGTGTGGGTCGGTGGGCGTGCATGGGGGGAGTGTGTTCAGGGGGCAGGAAATCTGTCTCCATGGCCTCGTCCTGCCAAGGCCACAGAGTGGCACCAGGATGCAGACCGGGGATTGGGGACCCCAGTCTAACTGCCTCAGAGTGCCCCTGTCAATCACTAGAAGTTTTCAGTAAGTTGTTTGGTGGCTTCCACCTCTTCTTTCTTACAATTCAGTCAGGTGATTTTCTGTCAGGTTCTTGAAGGCATTTTCCTTAGCCGAACTGCTGATATCCTTGCCATCTAGGTGCATGCGTGTCTCCTGCACCTTTCTCTCTGAACCAATGGATGAAAATACTCAGGGACCATCCACAAATCAGTAGGTATCTTCCTTAGCTGGCAGATTTTTTAGCCACAGTTACATATAGAGGAGCTGGTTTGGATTAACTTTAGATCATACAGAAATCAGGAATTTGGCAGCAGCAGAATAAAGATATTCACGTGATTGTTGTGGGTTTTTCGGGCTTCTTGGCCATGTTCTGAGGGTGGTTTTTCCTAACGTTTCGCCAGTCCAGTCT